TGGAAGTGCACAATATTCTCTTTTTGAAAATATTGTCCTCTTTTTTCATTTGAGTGCACAGCAGAGGAGAGTCTATACAACTGCTGACTGCAATGTTATAACATTTTTTTCTATATAAGGCTTCTTTGATTTCATGTTATGACGGCGACAAATCCATTAAAAAAAATTTTTTGGGGGTTGCTCTTTTGTTTCTCAAAAAAGTGGACTGCTGTCTGTTGCAGTAGATGGTTCTGTATATTTGAATTTTTAAACCAGATGCAATTCCTGACGCAATGCTCCCCAGAGGCTAGGATTGTGTTTAAGCCCAGTCACATACCCTAGAGATAGAAGCATTACAACAGCTGAATACATGTTATAGTAGTTTGTTTTGTTTGTTTTTCTAAATAAGCCTTTTGCTAATTTCTCGTTCTCATGAACACAAAAGAATAAAAAAGATGTTCAGCTGAAGGGAGCAGTCGAATGGAGGTTTATAACATGGTGTCCGGTGTCTGAAATCTACACCTACTGCTTTAACTTCAGTTAACCGTGTTAAACTGTTTGGGGTGAGCTGTGAAAACAAGCAGTTGAAGAAGAGTGGTAAGCACTACGTTGGTAAAAGCTTGACTGCAGTGCCAAGATCGATTTTAGTCAGTTTTATGGTCATTCAGCCAATTAGTGTTTGTTTGCTTGCTTGCTTTCTGGTATTGGGAGATTTTTTTTTTTAAGTATAGCCAAAGGTCTGAAGGCCATCGACACAATTCATAGAATTCAGCGTGTAGAGCAAATACAGATTAAAAGACATGAACCTATTATTTCTTTCATCCGTTCAATTTTGTGTTTTTAACATGCTCGACACTGAGCTTTTGTAAAATGTTCCATAGAAATAAAATCACTTTGAATCAGATGAAGTTCCCTTGCATAGTTTTGCTTTCGTTTTTGAGTATGTGTGGTTTTTGTTTTTGAAAGGCAAATGATGTGTCATACTGGGATATATAAAAACTAGCTGCTTCCACTGACTTGACAGATTGCTTGTCTGGTTGGTGCAATTTGCTAATAATTACCAAACTCGTTATACACAGTCCCTCCGCTGTTGTTATATACTCACTTTTCCGCTTTTTAAAAACAGTACCTATTTAAATCTTTTTAAGCAACACACCCTCCCTTTGCTTGTTTTTCTTTTATTAGCTAACCTGTTCAAACCCCTGGCTTCCATCCAGCTTCACCTTTTCAAATCTTCGAACGACAGGAGGAAATGGCCTGTTGTTTAGGCTCAACCAACTAACAATTTGAGATGGAGTTGTGGGGGAGGGGAGCTTGTCAGGCGATGGCTTTAATCATGTGCCCCCCCCCCCCCCAATGACGTAGTTCACAGTCACAGAACTTGGGGCACGTGGCTACGTTTACGGCGGGTTAACTAAAATGTAATGGATAAATTGAAAGTTTAACATATCTGTCCAACAACAGATAAGAGATCTACCGGCAATCCTCCCGAAACTTCCGATGAAGGGACACGCCCTGTGAAGCAAAATAAAAACATTTTAGTTGTTCCGTTTGCTGCCATCCGCGCCGAATGAGTCATGTGACTGACCAAAACTCAAGAGACAAATCAAAAATATTTATCGTTTACTTTCTGTATGATGACTCACAGTGGTGACATCAGATTTAAAGTGAAAAGTCTCGGTTTCATAGTAGAACACCTCTGCTCTACAATTTACTTTTTGTTAAGATGTTACACACCGGCGCAAAAGCAGGAATAAGAAGTCCACGTGCCTAGCCTTATCGGATTTACTTGTAGGTGGAAATTGCATTTGAATGTACAATTTTATGCTTTCCATCAACTCCAGCAGATCCTTAACAAAACCTGTTTGACTGCTGATTGAGTTGGCGCCCACTGTTACCACACAGTTGGCAAACAGAAAAAAGTCAAAAGAGAAAGAGAGCCCTATTTTTCATTCTTTCTATATCAAATATATATTGATTGATTATATCTATGTAATCAAAATTCAGATTTCTCAGCAAGGTACACATTTAAATAATATGAAAATCCAGTTATTGGGAAAAAAAGAAGATGACACAAATCAAAGTACTGGATTTCTAGAATTTCTGACTGATAACTCGCATTAAAATCTCCAGCATTTCCTCATCTCAACTCATGTTGTTGTTGTGAATTGGTAAAGGCACACCCTCAGGGTGAGTAACACTCTCAGTCTAAGCTTCCTGAATTACTCCCCAGATCTTCACTTTTTTTTCTGTCTATAATTCCAGCAGTAAGACGTGCTTGATAGGAAAATACTTATGTAACAGAGATGGTGGCAATGGTTTTGGCAATATTCATATGTAGTGAATATAAATACCCAAAGACAGAATGTACAAAATTAAATAATTATTTATTATTTGATAATTATTTTTAAATATTACAGTACTGAGGTAAGTTCATAGTCTTGAAGGTGAATTTTAACATGGCTTGTGATCATACTGTTTTACCCATGTGTCTCAAAAACAAATAATCAAACAAAAACACTCACACACAAAACGTATAAACTTTTTATTATTGTTACTGTGGTATTTGTATGAAACTTCACTTCCCACATTACTTCCAGGTATGTAACTGTCACTTCCCACTTTGGAAATTTATTTTGGCTAATAAAAAAGAAAGACAGTTTGTATTCTTATAATACTATTTATACAGCAAAGAGTAATATGAATGCTTAACAGAATACCTCCCACCAGCTCCCCAAGGAAAAGGGAGGATTGGGTTTCCCCCGCCTCAGGAATTATTATTATGCCGCTCAAATAACCCCCCTCTTATATTGGTGCAACAAAACATACACAGCTAAGTGGAAGGAACTGGAGTCCAGCCTGTTGGACCGATTCCCTCTACAAGCTGTAATGGCAGATAAGGGTCTACCGTGTTGGCTGGAAAAGTTGGGGAACCCCTGGTTAACCCACACCCTCCAAGTTTGGCAGAAGGTAATCAACATTTCTGGGATACACAAAATATTAAAAATTTTCAGGTGGTTTGCTTTCGACTCAGATTTTATTCCAAACAGACATGACTCTAACTTTAAAGCATGGCTATCTTATGGCCTTACGACATTCCTCTCTCTTACTCATAGAAATATTGTGCTCAGATTTGAGGTCTTGCGGGACAACCACAACCTGACAAAATACGACTTTCACAGATACCTACAGCTGAGATCACATATTGATCATGAATGCAAATTGTCTGACTTTAATGATGCTGAGTCGCATTTTTTCCACATCCTGAAAAATGCTACAACCATGACCCCTACTAGGTCCATCTCTAAACTATACAAAGCTCTCTTTAGTGCCAGCGAGGATAACACTTTATACACTAAAGATAAATGGAAAAGGGAATCAGGGATTGCTATTTCTATGGGGGAGTGGGAAAATGTTTGGTGCTGCCAGTGGTCCACATCCAGTTCTATGAGCTGGAAGGAACATGGCTGGAAGAATATTATTAGATACTTCAAGACACCATATCAGGAGAGATATAAAGGGGCTCATATGCAATGCTGGAGACAATGCGGCTCGACTGTTGCTAACCATTTTCATGTCTTTTTGGACTGTCCCAAGTTAAAAAATTTCTGGATGGGTGTCCAGGCCTCCTTAAGCGCAGTCTTTAACGTTCAAATGCCTTTAGATTTTAAGGTCTTATACATGGGTCTGGTCCCTTTTCTGGAACGTAGGAGTGAGATTAAGTTGGTGCAATTACTCTTGGTGGCAAGTAAAAAAACAATTACTAGAAGATGGTTAAGCCCAGTCCAGCCTACCCTGGATGACTGGTTTGGGATCATTTTAGAGATATTTAGGATGAAAAAACTGTCATATCTGTAAAGAAATCAAAAGGCCAAATTCCACTAAATTTGGAACAATTGAATCCTATTCATTACCCCCACAAGAGCTGACTTCACTTGATCTCACTGTTACTTGTATTTTTGTAATCTACTTATCTAATTTCTGACAATTGTTAATTCACTTTTTTTTAATTTACTTATATTACTATTGTTTATTTATTAATTTATTTATTTGTTTACCATGGCAGCAGCATGGGCATCCCCCCAGTTCGTGTTTATAGTTCCATATAATGTGTTGTGTATCTCCTTCTGGAGAGCATGTGAGCAACTCTCCTATAGCCAGTGGAGGATAATATGCACCTGTTGATCACTGTGTTTATCATTTGCTCTCCTGGACTTAATCTAAAAACCTGGAAGGACTCTGTTCCCATGTTATTCATATACTGCTGTGCAGATGGATTTTTCTTGTCCATTCCAAATAAAGATATAATAAAAAAACATCAACAAACAAAACAAAAACCGAATGGCCCCGTTATAGAAGGCCGAAGCTGCAGACTCTTTCTGGTCAGAAAAATCTGTCTCCAACAGATGCTGTCTGTACAGCTCAGTGGATAGCAATATTTTAATACTGGTTCACAAAAGTACAACTGAAAATGCTGCAAAATGTTGTGGTTGTTACTGTTGATTGGTTTCGCTTACTCAGCGTCTTTCTGTGGTAAGAATTGCGGCACTGTGTTGTTTATCACATTCTCACTATGTCAAGGTTTCTTAAAAATATCTTAATATATATATAGGTGAACATAAAATTAAGTTTTTATTATTATTTTATTATGTGTTAATTTATGATTGTTAATTTATTATAAATAATACAAAACTATTTATCCAGAATCTTCATTTTGACTGTCGAAACAGTTCAATTTAAAAGACCTCACTATTTTACAGCAGTAAAACAATTCCCCGTCTGTCTTTCTGTATTTCTTATCACTGTGTCAAAAGCGGGACAGGAAGTTGTAATATACATATATGTAATGTGTACAGTTTGTTATAAACTATTTATGGGCATATGCGTGGCATCGCAGTGGTCTGGTTCAGGAAACACTTACATCATGAAACTTCAGGTGTCTGCTGCTACGGCAGACGAAACTACGTGCGCGTCCCCGCCCACCTGTGAAACCGCCTAAAAAAGCTCGCTCCCGTTATTTCCTCTCCATTCAAGGTGCGGCAGCCAAGCAGGTGCGTGAGGAATCGTCGAGAAATCATATAGCTGTTGTTTGCTAACTTTATTTTTTAAAGCTAAGGAAAACGTGCCTAGATAGCAAAAGACGAGCCAGTTTTTTTTCCTCGCAAGGAAGCAGACTTGTTTTTTTAAAGAAGAGAGAAGTCTGTGTCTTGAGGAGTACCTGAACAGGTGAACAGCGTCCTTTGTTGTTTCAAAGTCAAGTCGGAGAAGAAGTAGAAATGGCTAACTCGGGTCTTCAGATTCTGGGATTCGCCCTGGCTCTTCTGGGCGTGATTGGACTCGTAGTTGGTACAATTATGCCCCAGTGGAAGATGTCTGCCTACGTCGGGGACAACATCATCACTGCGATCTCCATGTACGAAGGACTGTGGATGTCCTGTGCGTTCCAGAGCACAGGTCAAATGCAGTGTAAAGTGTACGACTCCATCCTGCAGCTCAACAGTAAGTAACACGGTTGATGGCTTTTAAATAAGTACGAGCGTCCACATAATTTCTCTCTGTAATGGGCCAAATAGTTTAAAAGTTTAACGGCAGGCTCCGGCTTACTGTGAATACTGCGGCAACTTGTTGTACTGTCATTGTTCCTAAGATAGAAGAGGAAATTTTAATGTCTGGTAGGAAGTGACTTGCAGATTGTACCTACTTTAAATCTTTCTGTTAACTTTTTGGCGCAGTCTGTAGCTTGGTTCTTGGTTTCCTAGAACTGGTCTAACCGGTTTAATCACTCGTTCTTTAATTTTCCTGTTTAAACCACCGAGGAAGGCTACACCTGCGCAGAGCAGCTCAGGTTCATAAAGGCTTTTAACGGGCCAAATGTTTAAACTTATCTTCTATTTTACACACCTTGGCAATGATTACCTATAAACCATTGTATGATAGAGAACCCCCCCACCCCCCCACCCCCACCCGCATGTGGAGCTTACCTTTCCGTGTGGGAGTTTATTTGACACCATTTACTCATCTATGTCTGAAGGCCATATGCAAAACCTTTCTCTATAGAGCAGAGCCACAAATGTTTCTAACAAACACCGAATGGCAGCTCCTTTTCGACTATATTCCAGGGGAAAAGCAAAAAAAGTGTAGTTGGGTGATGGAGCTGTAAAGTCTAGGTCATTCTTGTTGACCAAAGAGTTCTTCCTGTCGTATTCCAACCATCTTTATGGCTCTTATCTCTTATTATAAATCAGTGGCAAAAGTAGGTTAATAGTAGCAGGGCAGCTTTATTTCCCGTGCTTCAAATTTAGCTGATCGAAGCTGTGCCCTGGGGTCAAACTGCCTGAAAGTCACTGTGGGACAGATCACATAACTTGTAGTTGTGAATAGCTAATTCACTTGATGGTTCATAGACCATTTGTTTCAATGAACAAACACAAACCCATCTGTATCAGGGCTTTTTTTTTTTCTTTTGGGTTATTTGTCAAAACATTTGATTACAATATCTGCGGCAGTGCCGTATCACCTCTTCAAACATGAACCCAATCCAACTCTGATAAGTACTGTGTGATTAAACCTGGTGGTTAGATATGGAGCAAGTGAGTAAATAATGGCCTGTTGTTCAGAAATGGATGCTTGAAATTTCTTTACCAACAATGGATACCAAAACTGGGGAAGGAAAAACACGAATTCAGAAGTGCGAACAAGTCGTTTCTGAGCTCGTTGTCTGATTTTTAGTGAAACCCAGATTCTGTCAGATGGTGTGGGTTTTTTTTTTTTTTTAAATAAACAAAGTGTGCACCTGCTTTAAAATGTGATCTGTTAGTGCCTAAGGTTGGGAGCGTCTTCCTGAAATGAAACCTGAAACCTGGTTAGACCTGTTTCAGACTCTCATGCATGTACTGCCAGGCTCCCAACCCCCCAACCCCTCCCCCTCGAGCTTTGTTAGACTTCCGGGTAGAGCCAGTTTCTGTGTGTCGTTGTTATAGGGAGTGGCAGTGAGACACAAGAGACAGGTCTCTCTGTTGTGTGTTTGTGTCTGTATTTCCACCACCTTCTTCCACATAGAAAATCTAAACACATAAGTCTGCAAATATAAGTGACAGCTTAGTATAGTTACCAATAAATTGCTGCAGGAAAATGCTGCTGTTTTGCTTACTGTTTTCTTTTTACCTCCTTTTAGATTCACGGTAGTAAATCCTACAGCCTGTCACCACACCCTTGTAATCCATGTAACATATTACAGAGTGCTTCATGTTTGTCACATTAACTGATGGTTTAACCCTGGCCCTTGTGTTTTTGTTTTTTTTTTTTTTTAAAACCAGGTGCTCTTCAGGCAACCCGCGCCCTCATGATTGTGAGCATTATTGTAACGCTGGCTGGTCTGGGTGTAGCTTGCATGGGGATGAAGTGTACCAACTGTGGCGGAGATGACAAAGTGCGCAAGTCCCGCACTGCAATGGGTGGTGGAATTATTATCTTGATTGGAGGTAAAGAGCAATCTGACTTGGTTGTCTTTAATTTTTATTTATTTATTTTTAAAAGGTTAACAGAGTGAATAATGTTGTTGTGTATTCTGCCACAGCTTTGTGTGCCATTGTTGCCTGCTCTTGGTATGCGAATGACATCATCCGGGCCTTCTACAACCCTTTCACCCCTGTCAACACTAAGTATGTACATTACGATCTCAAACTGACCTTTGTGTACTCTGAATATCGAGTCATCTTGGCATAGTTCATCTGTTTGACTGACTAACTTTTTTTTCTAGGTATGAGTTCGGTGCTGCCATCTTCATTGCCTGGGCTGGTGCGTTCCTGACCGTTGTGGGAGGCGGCATTCTGGCAGCAAGCTGTTCAAAAAGCAAAGGGCGTCAAAGTGGACCAAAGTATCCCATCTCCAACCCCAGATCCAGTGGTAGCAACAAGGATTATGTATGAACAGGAACGTTCCTGGTTTGAGGCTGAAGGAACACTTTAACATTTACACTCGTCCAACTAAGAGATTGAAGCATTGCAAAGATGTATCGCAGGAGGTGGAGACCTCACTTTTTATTTTGTATTTTAGTTTCACCAGTACTAACCTGTGATGTTACTCTATTTTATTAAATTCAGTAAAATATTTTAAATGATGGCTGTTTACCTGAGACCAAGATTATTGGCTTTGTTTTGTCTGGATCTGTACCTACTGCTCGCGTGCTTATCTAATGTACACCACACCACCCACGTACTATGTCAGTCCTGCCTCATTCTGCCAAAATGCTGTACTGTGACACTGGCAGTAGACCCTTTAGATCAGTTACAGGTTTGGTTCAGTGAACCTCTGCAATGCACTTTGGTGTCTGAAGAGCTTTGGGGCGCGCCAGTTGTAAGCAAATCTCTCCCTCCCCCCCCCCCCCCCCCCCCCCCCCCCCAAAAAAACCAAACCAAAAAAACAACTAAATTCTGGCATGTGGCTGTGTTATCTTGCTGCTGCCATCAGAGTGCCATAACACATGAGGGAGCATAGTGGGTCAAGTTGCCAGCTATGTCAACAATTGGGCAACAAATCCCGCCCCCCCCCCCCCAAAACAAAAAAACATGTGTGAGGACTGAATGCATAATATTTAACCTGCCATCCAAGATGAGAAGCTCTGTGCTACCAATATTTTGTTTCCCCTGTGTAAACACACAAATCATACAACCACAAACCATTATAGTTTGTTTTGTGTTTTTTTTTTAATCATTTGCAGGAGTGAATTTGGAACTACAAATACGGATTTTTCTAAATTTCTAGTGTTTTGCTGAGAAATGTTGTGACCTTGTCTTTGACTTTCTGTCTTGATTACTGTTGTTTTTTGTTTTGTCACAATATCTGTTGCATACAATAAATTTTCAGTTTTTAAAAAAGATTTTTTTTTGTTTTGTTTTTTATTTGTAAATTTGTGTTGTGCATTTAAAAATGGAAAGAATTTCTGGCTTTTAGATTTGCGCCATCTCAAAATGAAGACAATGAAAATATGGAGTATTGCAGTGCAGACATATCAGACTCCAATTGCAGATAAATTTCTTATTGAGGAGGCTGAAATCATGAAGGCCACACAGTTCTCCTAAAGGAAAGCCATCTTCCTTCCTTCACACATAATTTAGCTGGCTGCTTTGCTTTGCCTTTAATGCCACCTAGTGGTGTGTATCTCTCTCTATATATCTCTCTATATATAGCTATCTATATAGATATCTATATCTATATCCTCCTCGCCGTTTATGAGGCTGTAGTGTCTTGCTCATAACCTACTTATACTGGTTTTTCTTAAAAGGGTCAAACCTTTAACGCCTCTCTGCCAGTGTCCCTCACCCTCAAAAAAAGAAACACATCTATTGTCTTGTCCTGTAAGATTCAATTCAATTGCTTTTGGTTTATTGTCATATATAACAGTGGCGTTCATGTGGAATCCATTTTGTTTTTAAAGTTGAAAAACATTTGTCTAAATTCTGAACACCATACATCCCCTACTCTAATCAGCCAGATAGCACTGCTAATCAGAAACGTACCTCGCTGAATTGAAGGGACTTTTACTATACACGTAATAGAAAGCCACATTGATACAGAATACTTATTAAATAAACAGGGTCTCTTGCACGAGGCTTCTCGTGTTATAGGAACAGTTCACCTCACAGAGCTATTTATCCACCTGCATTGTTTGGGCATAGGCATGTGTACCCTTTCTTTAATACATCAGGATCAACCTTGTGGGACTCAAAATGTAAAAAAAAATAAATCTATAAACCTTGTTATAAAACAACATTAACTGTACTTCTACTAAACTACATCCACACACCAGAAGAGAGGGAAGCCATCAGTGTTTAAAGCATGACCACAAGCCCATTGTCACACTTCCCTCTGCAGTGTGAGTTGGCAGGTGTGGTTCAGCAAAGAGGTACTTACTGCATGAAACTGCAGTTTTTCCTTAAAAAAAACAAAACACCACATCCTGTACCAATTATTTCCATTATAATCAAGGGAAGGCAGATGCTTAACATCTCCCATAACAGGCAGCTTATACGAAGAATCTAAATAACCAGTAAAATATGTACACTTAATGTGGGGGTGAAGGTTCCCTTTCAAGCGGCACAATCATTCACATGGTAAGCCATTTGCAGGTTGCTGCAGCACATCTGAATATTTGAGTAAAATGTGCTGACACCGGAGGGGTTCTTTATAGTGGTTTGATCAAACAAAATCAAAAGGATCTTGCTTAGAAACGTGGCCAGTGTACACTAAAGTGGCCTTGGCATTTAACAGCATTACAAAGAGAACTTTATAGCCCATCTGCATTTCTGTAAAATGGTTCCTTTGTCAGATGACAAAACGCCTATAAAAAGTTATGTGTTCAAAGGTCACATGGAAACACTTGATTTTGTTGTTTGCCAGTCTCATCGCTTCTGTCAATGAAACACCAAGAGGAATGTTGTAATAACTCAGAAACCTAATTTTAAACAAACAACAATAACAAAGATACACATTTATTATTTTATTTTATCAATTGAGGGACAGTCTGTTGAAAAGTCGTAAAAACTTGACAGCATGGAATGGTCTTGTGTTTTAACAGGCCTCATGCACTGAGAACAGAATAACCACAGTTGGTCAAACTGCATCTTCAAACTTGATACCAGTAGAAATTTCTATGAAACATTAAACAATTCATTTGCAAATTAACTCACACATACAGTTACTGAGCATGTAACCTTTGGCCGCTGGGCTGTCAGTAGGCATGGCAACACAGAGCAAACGGTTTCACAGAGCTGAAATGTGTTATTACTCCACTTCTAGGTTCGTTGCCCAAACAGATTGGCTGAATCGTTTTCCCCTTGGACGGTAAAAATACATCTCCAACACATTTTGAAGGGAGAGAAATCGCTGTCACAGGATTATGATGCAACAAATCTAAAATTATAATAAAGAAACGACAATGTTCTAGAAAGAGTGACACGTGTTCCTGTTCTTAATTATACTAAACCAAACAAACTTCAGAGTATTTTCAGTATTAGATCCCTGGTGAAGCGTGTATTTGTTTTTAAATTGTGTAATAGGTGTGTTTTAACTGTTTCTTAATAAGAGTATATCAAACTTACTAAAGTGGGGAGAGAAAAAAAAAAAAAAAAAAAAAAAAAAAACCCCACAAACAAAAAAACCTAAGCCCTGTGCTCTTACAAAAGGGTGATGGAGGTGGACTATGCACCAGTACTGCACAGCTACCGCCCCTCACTACCTCTCCAATCTCTTCATCCAGGAGGGCAAATTGAAGTGGCCTATACGTAAAGAGCGATTTAAGGACAAGTGTGAGGCACTCAGTTTGGCTTCAGAGGGTTTAAGAGGTGCTAAGGGCATAAACAAGTTATAAAAATAGATAAAACTGCAACGTCTGTTATTCCTTCAATGCCTGCCTCCACTTCCACAGCTCTGCAATGACCTGAGGAGAAAAAAACCCATATATAAACAGCTGACTTAAATTGTTGTCAAAAACAGAGCAGGTTCATGCAACATGGTCTCTCATTTACTGCAACACAACTTCCTCCTTACTTATGATTGGAATATTTGGACTTTGATGCCCCCTAGTGGCATGACAAATAAATGCCAGTACACCACCTCCATTTAAATCAAATTACAGCCAGTAGCTACATTTTCACAATAATCTAAGAAAGTAAAAATGTTATAATAGCAGGCAATAGAAATTTGTTGTATACCTTGGGCTCTGTGACCTTGTGACCATGTTTCACAAAGTTCTCAAACTTGGGCTGGGCTTTAGGTAACGTTACTCCCTATTAGGAAAAATATAAACAAATGTAATCAATTTGCAATTTTAATCATGCCAAACAGATTCAAAGGACATCCAAGAACAAACCTTTTTCACTGCCTCCATCATCTTGGCTTTGATCTCTGGCACACTCAAAGGTCCTTTAGGAGTTGGTGGGGTTTTGGGAGACTTGTCACCTTTTCCTTTAGGTGTCTTTTCCTACATTGGGCAAAAAAATAAATACAAATAAATTAAAGTCTAGACATTAGAAGTGTTGAATTTAATTTTTTTAATATATTTGCCTTTGCTCGCCATTCTTGCTCATGTAAACGATTGTTACCTGGTTTTTGGCTGGAGTGTTCGGTTTTGAACTCTTGCCATTCTGTGCAGGTGCTTTGGGTTTGGATGGCGTCTGTTTGGATGGTATAGATTTGGCTGGAGCTGCCTTGGCCTGTAACAAATGGGCAGCTGTCAGTTGCAGAGTGAGCATGTGTAAATTAAGCTTCAATTTAAAACTCCGCGATAAGGATATCTGCTTGCCTTAACGGGAGATTCTTCTTCCATGCTCTCCTCGTTGTCCTCGTCGTCATCAGCCTCATCATCATCCCTGAAGAAATGAGAAAGATTAAAGCAATAGCAGTTCAACTTTTTTTTTTTCCTCAAATTGACCTCTTGCCTGCAGCAAGGTCAAAGCTTAATTAAAAGCTAAAAGAAGCTAAAAAGCTGTCAGTTGCTAAAAAACAAACAAACCTTAGAACAGGCTTTTCCCTGTAGCACAATGTGTAATAAATACTCAAGAAAATTGTGGCCATTTCAACTTATCTAACACTCAACTCCAGGTATATGACACCCAGCTGAAAACATTTCTTGCAAGTCAAGTTGCCCGAGAATCACAGAATTTACAGAAAAAGTAGAATTTTTGTGATATTGTTGTCAGGACGATAAATGTCTTATATCGGGATATGAGATTTTGGTCATATCACACAGCCTTACGAAGGGCCTCTGTAGCATGAACATGGTTTGGTTTTGAAAAGTCTGACATGGACCAGAAAACTTTTTCCCTAGTTTCAAAATAACAGTAACTACTATGCACACTGTCATGGCTACAAATATAACCAGTTTTTAGATGGTTTCCTACAAGTTTTGCTTTTATCATGTTAGGAAGCAACCTCCATTAAGCATTATTTCCACGCTATTAGCAAGTAACAAATGAGCTCTTATAAAACATGACAGAACAAGTGTTCAAAAGCCATCTGACCTTTGCTATGAATTTTATTTTCACAATTTGAGTTGGTTGGGAAAAAAAAAGAAAAAAAGGGTCATTTTCAACAAAAGCCTGCTACACATGCTGGCAGCAAGATGAGCAGAGGTATGTTCTTTTACCAGCAATGCAGTGACGCAAATATGAAATAACGCTTTGCCCAGAGCTGGCCATCTTTAACAACTGATCGCCTACAGTCATCGGCTCTCCAAGAGGCAGAAGGAGGAAAGATGTAAAGCTACCATCTGTTCGCATGAGGACTGCAACTTAAAGACTTCACAGCATTTGTGTGGTCAGACACTCACTCATCCTCCTCATCTTCATCGTCCTCATCGTCATCTTCCTCATCATCATCTTCTTCCTCCACCTCCATTTTCATCTTTTTCTGTGTATGAGATTAAAAGTCAGTCATGCGTTTTACAGTGACAAGTTTACACTTTATACTAAAACCAATTTAAAAAAAACAAAAAACAAAACAAAAACAAACAAACCTGAGACTTTGCAGCAGGGGAAGTGGCAGGCCTTTTCTTTGATGTTATGACATCCTCCTCCTCTTCATCGTCATCCTCATCGTCTTCATCAAAAGACTGATCTGCATCCATCACTGCGGGGGCAATTTACAAGGAATTTATAATAATAATAATAATAAAAAAAAAAAAAAAAAAAAAAAAAAAAAAAACTACTCCGTCTGCTGTGCTATGAGGAGTCTTGATTGTGTGAGGGTTTTCGCCACATTCTCCGAATTATGAATACTCACTGACAAGGTGCTGTCCACTGATATGGATCGGACCAGAACCTGCCTTCAGGCGAAAAACTGCTGGGGGCGTGATTGTGTAGCCACCAAGACATGCCTGCAGCAAAACACACAAATAAGCCAGCTGCTGCAAAACTATACAGCGGTTTTTCCTGAGGCAGCACAGAAGCCCCTCAGTGAGGCTAAGGAAGAATAAAGCATAAAATTATTTGGTCGCCAAGGTGTGTTTTCAAGCAGAACGTTTACTTACACTTGGCAAGGTAGAGGGCTTAAGTGAAACCAGAACTGCCTTGACCTTCTGACCCTCTGCGTCCTGCCCTTCTACCTCCACCATATGAAGTTCATCTTTTGTGCTGGGGTCCACACACACCTAAAGACACAACAGAACATTTGATGTTTTGGTGGTGGAAAATTTCAAACTGAAAATGTTAACCAACGATTTGGTATTCACTGTACCACTTGGCTGCATCCTTCTCACACAACCACAAGCAATGTGCTCAGTGTGTGGGACACAATGACATTTCGTACACTGTGTCGTAACAGCTTCAAGTATACAGGGATGAACAAACTGCATGAAAGACACTCACCATCCTCAGATCCAACTGATGCTCCAAGTCATCGTCGTCAGGATTGAAGACCACTTCCTTTCCAGCTTCCAGCACACACCCTGATGAAGAGATTAAAATAAAATTAATTTTAAAAGAATACAAAAGTAGAAAATGAGTAGAACCAATCACTTAGGTGTAAAGCGCTACATATAAGGTGCACACAAGAGGGAGCCCTACAGAACAAGGGGTGAACATTGCCACATGGCAACAGCAGGAATTCCCCTCAAATGAAGAAGGGGAAGAAGTGAAAATCACGTCATCTAAACTTATGCTAAAGTTCTGAAACACCTAGCAAAAGACACGTGCCATGTTAATATTCCAATATGCATCCTCTACAGGTATGACATTTCAATTAACCTTGGTTAAAAGCCAATTGCAGAGCTTTGGATAAGCATCACCAAACTGGAGACAGTCTATTATCAAATTAGAACGATTTGGCTTAGTTTCTGTGTGTGAAAAAGATATTTAGCTCTTGCTCTTTTAGAACCACCTCAGAATTTGCAACATTAAAACAGTACACTGTGACCGTATCTGCTGTTTAAACGATGTCTGAAGTATCCACCCTAAAAGAAGAGGTTAAATTTTAGTTAGTAAGGGGAGCAGAACGACAGATGAAGAATAGAAACACTCTTTAAGATCTGGGGTGGCTTAAAATGCAGTCGCAGGAGGAGCGGTGGGGAGGTCAACGCGGTCCGCGTGTGTTTGAAGCCACGTTGAGACCAATTTCCCCGGCCAGCAGAAAACTGTCAGCTCTAAGAGCTTCAAATGGACAGTTCATCTTAAAAAAAAAAAAAAAAAAAAGCAGGTGCTTCAGTAGAACAGCAGCGCTAACTCTTTGTTTAAAGAAACTGATCAGATATCAACTCCGTTAATAAATCACTGGGGCCGCCATGTTGATAACCAAGCACGTGTGTGGCAGAGTGGTCTGAAGCACAGCAGCTCAGCAAGACTCATTCAACCTCCTGCCACGACTCATAACAACCAACACCACAAGACATTTTAAATGTTTTAAATGCAAACAGGTCCACTGTCTTCGTCTGGAACAAGGCACGTGTAGCTAAGCATGCTACGTGTCATTTTTTCTGTTGCTAATGCCAAAAAACACGAGAACACAGAATATAAAACAACCTCAAGTCACACATAAAACAAAGTTGTGCTCTCACCGTAAAGGAACGTTTGTGGCGCCATTGGTTCATCTAGCCCGTTCATGTTTGAGACGAGGACGCTGACAAACTCCTTATATGCTGTAGAAGAATAACCAAATGGTACCAGCAGCCACTAACTAAGGTGCTACAGCGCTCCCGCTCTTCTTCTTTTCTCAATGAGGCACGGAGCGAAAAAATCAGCCCACACCGCCACCTACAGGACCGCTGCACAGAGCGTCTTAAAGCTAGCTCCATTGTTTGTGTTGGAAAAGTGTAAACGCGCATTGACTGTTAGGAATTACGGTCATTTTGAAATACGTCTCAACACTATAGTCCTTCATTTATTTCCCCATGCATACTACAGTCATTTAAGATGTTTTCTTTACATAAACCTTTAATTTTACGATCCCATCAAACCTATTATGTTCTTCTGTCACTGAAAATCTGTCTGTAGGTGTCAGCAGTGTGAAAAAGTCTCGAGCTCTTCCTTATTTCTTTACAGTTTACTTCCAAGTAGCCAGCCTTTCTTGTATTGTTGTCAATTTTATTTATGTAATGCCAAATCACAGCAACAACAAGGTGTTTTATACTGTAATGGAAAGACACTACAATAATAAAGTATTAAAAAGTATTTTTTTATTTGTTAAGCCACTCAACACTGATCTATCAGTCATTCAAGAATGACTGAATTAGGACGCATAACTCAAAGGATGAACCTTGAACCAATTTAAAGAACCAATTTTAAATTGTCTCTTTAAGCATTTTACTAGTAGCCCGTCAAAAAATCACATCACTTGTTTCCCTTTTCTGAGTCAATCTATGAGAAATACCAAAGATAACACAGTTTGAAAGGCATAAAACAATATTTTTGCATCACAAGGTAATCCCTAAAGAGCTTTAGCCAAAAACTTGGCATATTGTGGTATGGTGTGCAGTGTGTCCTTAAAGACATAAAGTGAAGGACAAAATAAGTGGCAGGTCTAGAAAAATAATCTCCTGCACATCGACACTATTTGAAAGTAAAAAGTAGAAAAAGAAATCCAACAAAGGCCTGACACAGGACCTGAGCGATGCATCTAACCGTTCAGTTGATGCTTCATCACTCAGGGAAGTGAAACGGGGATAGCAGTCTCAGGTGTGCCAAGTTACAGAAGAACTGGACTGAAAATCTGTGGCAACAGGTCTTACGGAATGATTGATACAAACCTGAAATTTCACGTGTGGAGACCCAACAGTGACTCTCTACAGCCACATGTAAAACATGATGACGGCTTTGTCATGTTTTGGGCTCGATGCTGGGATCTTGTAAAAATTGATGAAATTAGGAATGCAGAAAAGTACTGTAAGAATCTGATCACCATGAAGAAAGATTAACTCAAATTTTGCGCAGAACTGTACTCATAATATAAATGCCAAGAAGTTGATAGATGGGCAATTTCTTCACCAAAAATCTTTTTTTCTGATTTTCCCCCACAGTTTGAATAATTGAGCTAAATGAATACAGATGGGTAAGAAGAGAAAAAAAAAGCTAATTAACATGACCCAAAGAGCTTCAACTCTGAGGACTTGCAAATGTCATGGCATATGATTCACACAGTTTTCATACTTGTTACGTCCCCACGATGAAGGTCTAGGGGTGTGTGTGGACTGGTAACAAATGGGTCCAGAACAGAATGAAAGGAGAACAGACAGAGGTGCTTAGTAAATAAAATAGTTTTTATTATAGATAAAATTAACATAAGGAGCCGGCAACGCTGTTTTACCAATAACACTAGAAAAAGAAAAAGGTTGCAACAACAAAGAACACAACAACCAAACAAACTCCACACCATGAGGAGGCACTTCCAGGGGCCCACAAGCTCACCCTGTCACTAGCAGCAGCTAGCTTTACTGCTGCCGAGGCCCACAAGCCCACACTACTCATGTGAAGCAGCTACACTGCAAACTGCTTCCACAACTCCACACTATAGGATCTCTCCCGACACCTTCGACACACAATGTGGGAACACCAGAGAAAAAACACTCTCTCATATCCAGGTCATCCCCAGCTTATATGACCTAGGAGAGGTGATTGCTAACTGAGCCCAGGTGGTAAATGAGGCCAATGAACAGCAGCTGTGTCCTGGGGAGAGAGAAGAGCAAGAGAGAGACAGAGGGGTGGAGCAAGAGAGGAAGAGGCGGAGAGAAAACACCACACCCACACAAGGGCAATTTTAGGAGGCCCAGCTAGGGCCGTAACACCCCCTCCCATAAATACAAACCAGTGGTTTGCCACAGGATGTCCTACACAAATCTTAAATCTATCACCTACCGTGCACCATAATAATGGTTAGGCATACCCTGCCAAATCTGCCAAGACCTTTTTGATGGGTTGAAAACACTGAATCGGGTTGGCTCAAGTCCCTCAACATAGTGTCCCAAGTGACAGCCAGATTTTTTTTGAGCCATCACATATGGAGAACCCAGCGAATAGCTAGAAGGCCTTTCTGAAACACAAAGACGCTTCTTCGCTAGCTCATGGCAACAGGCATGCTGGCTAGCCAGAGGTGCAGGTTGGAATGGTTGTGTCACACACAATCTGTCACACTGTAGGTCATCTGGAAGATGGTCAACAGGTGGCAGCTCAGAATTAGTCGACCTCTGACAGTGACCAAAAGACACCACTGAGCAATTATGCTCCAACTGTCGTCTCGGACTGGCAACTTTGTCCGTTTGTGAACCACGATTGACTCCTTTCAAAGCAGAGCCTTTTTGCTTTGAGTGGGCTTTCAAACAGTTAGCAACCAGGTGGCCAGGTTTGTGGCAGAAGAAACAGAGCTTTGTTTTGGCTCTTGAAATCACGCCTGTATCAGCTTTGCTAGCTGGCACACTCCTAGCTCTCGAGACCAACTGTTTCTGTTTGTAGGCCTCACAATTTGCTATCAAATGGCCAGACCTGAAACAGAAGAAAAACTTTCTTTTCACCTTGGGACGGGACACAGGTACCTCGCTCTTTGGGTACGGCACAGCTGGCACATTGCTAACCTTCACTGAGGCATCGCGTCGGTAATGCTTAATGACACTGGTTTTATGGATGAGGGCAAACTCATCAGCCAGTGTTGCAGCCTGCTGTAATGAGGAAACCCTTTGTCCGCTAAGGTGTACTGCGATGCGCTCGGAGACGCAGTTCTTAAATTCCTCTATCAGCATTAATTCACGCATCGACGCCAGGTCTGTAGCTTTGCTGGTGTGAGTACAAGAAAATAATTAGTGTAATATGTGTTAAATTTGTTTAGATCAGAGGAATAGGGAAGGATTTGTTTGTCTGTGTTTTAGTTTGGCTTAGTTGTAGGCCTGAGAGTGTGTAATTGTTTAGAGAGAAATGAATTTATGGATACTGGGAGTCTGCCTGCCATAAAAGGAGACAGGAAGCTACAGTTGGGGGTTGCTGATGCTTATACCTTTAATAAAACTCTTAAGTGTTATACACTTAGAAGTAGGTTTGCAGGAGATTCTCCACATGATCTGTAAATGTAAGACAGCAAGAGGCCAATGGCCCAGTGGATGCAGAGTGGGGGTCTCAGTGTTTGTAATATGTTAACTCTGTTTTCTATGTTGTGTAGAGGAATTGTGTGTAGCTTGGGTGAGATTACTTTTATGACCCCCAGGAAGTCACGTACACAGAGACACACAGTGCTTTGACTGTTATGACGCACCCACACCTACATGCACAGTCACTCACGTGCACTCACATAGACACACGGGTATGCGCACACACAGGCACTCACATGCTCGTGCAGACACACACAGACAGAGTTTCCAGCACACACTGGGGGGTTTTATGATGGGGTCACTTCTACAAAACTGTTTCACAGACAAAGCAGTGAAGGTCTGCAGAGGGACACCCGCCTTGCACGTCTTCCCTTCTAGAAGATGCATGCTTAGATGAAGATGAATAAAGATTTTGTGAAATGACTACTGAGTTCCGGTGCCGTCTCTGGATGCCTGAGGGGAAAAAAAAAAAAAAAAAAAAAAAAAAAAAAAAAAGAACCGGGGTGAAACTGATTTCTTAACACTGGACACCACCGATCAAAAAGCACACTTTTCTTCCTCGCGAAGTCTCAGTAGGATTGACCTTGTCCCCTTTTTAATCCCCGGAAACGCTGCCTATAAGCTTCTGGGACTAGCTCCTAAGCTAGAAGAATGGCACTTTTTAGCTTGTCATAATTCAGACTGTCCTCAGCGGACAATAAGGAACAAACTTCCTGAGCTTCACCTACCAGCTTACATTGTAACAAAATGCCCCACGAATCCCGTGGCCAGTGCAAGGCTGTGGCTATACGCTCAAATGACTCGAAGTAACTGTCGCGGAACACCGGAACCAGACGACTGCTTTTCCCTACATCTGCCTACCGAATGGAGGCAGTTGGAGGAAGGGAAGCCGGCTGGAGTTCCAACTGTTGCAACTTGACAGCTGTCTCCACCTCCACCTCCTTCAATTCAACCTCCCTGGCCCTTGCAAGCTCTGCCTCTAAACGCCTAAGTTACAACTCCTTTAACTGGAACTCCCTTTCACGATCCTCCTTTTCCAACTTAAGACGAGCCAGGCGTACACAGAGCCTAGCATCCTGCTTAGAGCCTACTGATGATTCAATGGAGAGAGGTTCGAAGTGAGGCAGTGTCATCTACTTGTCCTCAGGCAACCCCTGAGCAACAGGCGTAAACACTGATGGAGCTACAGCTTGAGCTGGCACCTGCGGAACAGGCTGAGACGCTACACCATGCTCAGGTGGACTGGCAGACACCGGCAAGGCCACCATCCCTTTCTCCACCAATCCAGACATAAGAGCAGCTTTCAGCTCAGCCTTACGCAGAGCTATGGAGACACAAATGCCATAAATTGCTGCCACCTCATGCAAATCCCTCTTCCTACAGGCGTCCAGCTGGACAAGCGAAGGGTTTGCCTTAAACATGGCAACATCAAAGGTAGCCATTCAAAACTACCTGAGGCTAACAATAACAACAAAGAAGCACCACCTCCAACACACAAATCAAAAACAGGTGGGAAATATGTGTGACCACAGGTTAACCAATAAATAAAAATACCATCGACCCTGGCAGCACGGTGGCACGGTGGTTAGCACTGTTGCCGCACAGCAAGAAGGTCCTGAGTTCAATTCCAACATCAGGCCAGGGTCTTTCTGTGTGGAGTTTGC